TCCTCCCATGTCTCCCTCCCATGTCTCCCTTCCATGTCTCCCTCCCATGTCTCCCTCTCATGTCTTCCTCCCATGTCTCCCTCCCATGTCTCCCTGCAGCCTCTGACGGATGAAGTGTCCTCCGTCCTGCAGCTGCTGCCACATCAGTGAAATGATACCATCTGCTGGCTCCTCGCCCCACATGCACGGTCCTCCTCGTTCATCTACTTCCGCTCCACTGCGCATGCTCGTGCGGCGGTTCGCGGTTGCGCCAATAGGTTTAGGATGTCGCTAGCAGCCAGTGTAGATGCTCGGGCTTCTCACAACAATAACACCGACCAAATTTGCATCTCCACGTTCCCGGTTTGAGGATTTTTTTTTTACTCTTCGAGCGCTGTCGGAAACCGTGCATTGGACCGCGGCACCGATCGTCTCCCCGCGTTTCTTCTGGCTACGTCCCCTGCTGACAATGGGAGCGGAGGGGTTTGCAAATTTACACGGCTCCTTCTCGCCGGAGCAGAAACAAGAATCATGGCCGGCCAGCTAGGCCGCAGATGGGTTTTGTAGCCAGCAGCGACGGGTCCGTTCATATTTAAATACCGTACGTAGGTCTGGCGCTAGCACGCTAAACGTGGTGCTAAGCAGCCGGTGTTTTAAACCGCACAGCTATCTTTGTTTTCTGCTTTCCTTTTGAGAGAGAGAGAGGGTGGTGGGGGGGCGCAGCGACACAAGCTAGCGAGCCCGCTAGCTTCACAACCTTGACTGGCTGACGTCTCGCCTTCGTAGTTAGCTCCTGTGGCCGGCTAACGTTAGCTAGCTAGCCTCGCTCGGCCAGCCACCCGCTGGTCAAAAACATCAGGAAAAGAGAACTCGTTGCTGGGTTTCCCTGTCGTCGTTGTGCGCCCGGCGGGCATTAGCATCGCAGATTCCTCCTGTGGCGACTGCTTCTGGATGAATGTGGGACAAAATGGAGACCCCGACGATTGTGTACGATTTGGATACCTCTGGGGGCTTAATGGAGGTGAGGCTGCTCCGCTGTAAGGCCGTGGTTCATATCAACATTCGTGTTTTAATGCATTCCCCCCCCTCGTTCAGATTGTGGGAAGAAGTAGCCCACCATGCTATGTTGTCAAGGCGGTTCTCGGCTGGCTCTCTCGGTAGTTTGGGTTTGGTAATGGAGGCCCACAAGTTAACATTGCCGCCCCCCCCACCCTCAGCGTGAACAGCCGGCAGAGAGCTGCATATTTTCCACCTCTGTGGACAAACTGTCTGTCAGGGGCCACCGCCATCTCACCCTCCTACAACTGAACATGTTTTTTTCACAGCAAATCCAAACGCTGCTGGCACCTCCGAAGTCCGAGGAGGTCGAGAAGAGGAGTCGGAAGTTGGTGCGAGACGTCCGAAGGAGCGGCAGGGCCACCAACCATGACACCTGCGATAGCTGCCGGGAGGGGGGAGACCTGCTGTGCTGCGACCACTGTCCTGCAGCCTTCCACCTCCAGTGCTGGTAAGATCCGTGCAACCCTGTCCACGACTGCATGTTCACGGGGGAAACACTCGGACTCAGCAGCTGCACGCATCGATGCATAATGTGTTTTTTAGGGTTGACGCCATGAGCGAGTTACATCTGGCCTTATTTGGTGCTGCAGGAATGAGCAGGATGCATGACACAGAGTGAAGTCAATGAATGAAATGGATATATTTAGTAGTGGGCGATGCAAATCTTAACGCCACGCAAATGTCCACACAGTTACTTCCTCAACTTCTACCATCGATGGGTTCACGCACTGTGTTTAATGCCACACGACCCTTTGTAAAGTTGATGTTCTCGTGCATGGTGCTTCTCAGTGGGTTGCCTATATGCACCCCAGCACGCACGAGCAACGCGTTTCCAGCCATCTTTGGTGTGCTCCATTAGCGAGAGGTCTATTGAATGAAGTCTGGTGTGCAAGCGGAACAACTTCCCATCTGATACGAGCCGGTGTCGGGTTACTTTCAGAGCAGCTCCTCGCTCGTTCATTGGGGGGGGACTCGTGTGTCATTCGATCCGCGCTGCAGCTCACGGGAGAGTTTCCACGAAGCCTAATTCCGATCGTTTGTGTGAATGAGATGCACTTTTTTTTTTTTTTTTAGAAAAGAAGTGTGGGTCCGGAGAGAAAACGTGTGCACGTAGCCGTGTTCAGAGGAAGAGGCTGGACTCAGCTTGGTCCTCCCCTCCTGTTGTGGCTGCAGCCAGCGGAGCCACTGCTGCTAAAAATGGAGTCGAGCTTGCCTGTGTTTACAATATGGCGACCTCCCTGCTCCTTTTTTTTTTTCCTCCTCCGTTCCACCGCCATTTTATCAACCTTTGAAATCAAGCATAGAGGAAAGGTGGATATGGCGATGAAACGTTGGTTGATTTCGTCAGATGGAGCAGGAGCAGCGGGGCACAGTTCGTTGTGGACGTGTCGCAGAACTCGAGCCCGTTCACAGCGTTTATCCGGTGCCGCTTCTCTCGGTTTAACATCCGCCCGCAGGATTATTCTAGCTGTGTGCATGTGGACGGATCGAGTTCAGACTATCACCTGCAAACGTACATGTTCTTATTCATACATGCTCAGGCCGTGGGTGGCTTCATCTGCTCGGTTTGTAGTTGCTCGGATCCCTGCACACTGGGAGGTAACTTGCAGCATTGTGAGTGTGATTTTATTATTCTGGAGGTTTTGTTGCTGGACCTAACTTCTGGTAATGTTTCGCAGTGAAATGATTTATGGTTTTTATAAGTTCTGCTCATTCTGCTCTGGTTTCTCTATGAGCCGTGGCAACATCGTCTTATAACACTCTGGGGAAAGTTGCTATTTCCATTTATCTGGTAAATGCATGATTATTTTTGTAATTTATGTTGGAATAGATTTTTTTAAAAGCTTTTCTCATGCTCTCTCAGTGGGTTGGCTGAAACCATACACATGGACAATCTATCAGTCTCATTGTATGTATATTTTGTGTAGGCTTTCTGTTTATTGTAGGATTTCAGTGGTGCACAGCATTGTTTTACATGTGAAGTAATTATGAATCTGCCAGATAAAGAGTGTTAAGATTACAAGCTGAATGGTAACTTAAATAAGGATATTTTGGTGGTAACTCCTGTATTTAACAACACTTTTAAATCACAAATTGTTGTCAACCACATATGAATGATAACATGGTCTTTTTCTTTCTCCAACATTAAAAGATGTTTTTGCACAAAAGGCTAAAGTTAGTTATACTTTATATCAGGACTGCATATACAGATGTTAAATAACAACGTATATCATTTTACTTGCATTGAATATCAACCCATTTACTCCTGATTGTATTTCATTTTCTGAACACAGTAATCCACCTCTAAGTGAAGAGATGCTACCCCCGGGGGAGTGGATGTGTCACCGCTGCAATGTCAAAAAAAAGGTGAGAGCCATTACATCCCCAGTTCTGTACCATTCTTATTGTCATGCAACTGTTCAAGTGAAGAGAAAAGTGTCTGTATGTTACATGGATAGATTAATCTGAGTGCATGTCTTTGTTTGCAACTGTCAGAAGCGAGAGCAGAAGTCGGAACAGACTAACGGCCTGTCAGAGAGGTCCTCGTCGAAGCGCTCTGCTTCCCCAGCCGTGGAGCTGGAGCTCAATGCTGGCCCTCTGCGGCTAGATGGCCTGCCCCCGGGGGCCGGAGCGGCGGGACCGGGTTTACGGGTCGCCCAGGTGCGCCTCTTGGACCGCAGGACGAGCAGTAGGCCGAGCAGCCGACCCGGGACGCCCACTTCCAACACTTCATCCACCCCGACCCCTTCTGAGGAGCAGAATGACGGGGAGGAGGAGTTACCAGAACCTGAGGATGAAGTTCAGGGTGTAGAGCTCGACTGTGCTCCGCTATCTGCTCCAACTCCGCGTCTCCTCAAGAGACCCTTCCAGTTGCTGATAGCAGCTGCTATGGAGAGAAACCCCACACAGTTCCAGCTGCCCACTGAGCTCACCTGCACCACTGCACTGCCAGGTCAGTCATTCATTATGAGGACAGGAGTCTTTTAAGTAGTGCAAATGACAAGGTAAAGAAAGTCTTGTAAAATAATGCCACAGTCCACGTTTTAATTCTACTTACTCTTATTGTTAAGAAGCTAATGTAGATGATATCTAAGTATGTATTTATTTTTGTATTTTATTTTCATGAGCAGTTATGCTGCAAATAAGTTTTATACAAATTATGACACATTTTGAACCTTGTGAGATCCTGATCCCAAGGTTAAGAAACGCCATCGCAGCCTTTCTTTTTGAAAATCTGACACATACAGAAAGTAAACTAGCGGCAGCTGAAGTAAGTCCTCAAAAGTGGATTTTGAAACAAAGTGCTGCACACTGGTTGTAGAGAGTGTCCTGGAATTTATTGAGCGTTCATGCCAGAGCCCTGAAGCTATGGAACAGGTCGCCCAAGGTTGGCAGAATCACAGGCCTCTCTTTTCTTGATACATGCTCTTTATGAGTTAGCTTTTCCTGGTGCCTGTCTCTACCGTTATGCTGGCTACACTATAATTGTTTTTATTTGCTTATAACATAGATTTTAGTGATTTGCTTATTTTGAAGTTGCTGCCTTGTATGAAGCTCTCTGTAATGCAGTTTTATAAAAGTGCTCTTTGAACAAAAAGTCCTAATAGTATTGATATAGATAATTGTGAGGAAGTCTGGGCTGGGTTGTTTATTATTTGTTCCTGTGGTTTGGATTTGTAGGCAGCAGCAAACGGAGGAGAAAAGAAGAGCTATTAGGGAAACCATTCAGGCGGCCTCAGCATGAACTAGATCCTAACGGTCTGGTCCCTCTACCAGTCAAAGTCTGCTTTTCATGCAACAGGTCAGTACTGCCAGATCACAGGATGTGCACACAGACTGTGAATGGTTTCCTCTCTTAAGCTGGTGTCCTTTATTTCCTTTCACAGGAGTTGCAGGATGGCTCCACTGATCCAGTGTGATTATTGTCCCCTTCTGTTCCACATGGATTGTCTGGACCCCCCACTCACAGCTTTACCTGCTGGCAAATGGATGTGTCCAAACCACATTGAGCACCTAGTGGTGAGAAGCACGATCTTGGTTCAGAGCGAAACAAACTTTTTTTTCTCTTTTGTCGTTTGTCTCAAGTCGGGCAGTTTCAACAGAATTATTATTTTTAATCTCAAATATGTGTTTGATGTCCAGCTGAATCAGAAGAGCTTGACCCTTTCCAGCCGCTGTCAGCTCTTTGACCAGTTCCAGGACAGGATGTCCCAGCATGCTGTCAAGTTGGATTTCCTGCGCAGAGTTCACCGTCAGAACGCGCCTAACCGTCGCACCGCCCTTCACCACAACAGGAAAACCATCAAGGTAGACTGGCTGCCTCATTTTCAGAATCCCAGAGTGTCCTGAGTAGTTTTTGTGTGGTCCGAGCTGAACTGCTAAGACAAGCCAATGGACAAAAGGCAGTTCATGCAGTAACTTGCAAAAGCTGCTTTCATTGATGCATTGAACTCTTAGCTCTTTTGTTAAAAGGAGGATTCGCAACTAACGACTGGGCTTGTTGATGATGTTTTTTTTAACACGATGCACGCAAAACTGAAAATGAAACAAAAATAATACAAATATCTTCAGATGAAAAAGTAGGGCCATACAGGAGGCGGTTATATTCTGCTTCTGCATGCGGCTCCACCCCTCACCTGAATGCCTCAGAGATTTCTATGCTGTTATGAATGCTTCTGAGTGGAGAATCTCCTGCTGAATTGTTCATTTGTAAAAGGCAAACTCAGGAGAGAGTCCGGACCCAATTGTGCGAACATTCTCCAGAGTTCTTGTCGGAAATCTACCCTGGCAGAGCACCCACAGATAATCAAAATGTGTTCATTCATTCATTTAGAGACATTAAATTTATTTGTTTTTTAGATTTTTAACTTTTAAATATCTGATCACTGTTTACTCCCAGGTGCCAGACGCCATTAAGTCGCACTACCAGAACCCTCCCCCCATACTGCTTCCTGCAGGGGTGCACCAGTTGGAGCTGGTTTGTAGTGGCGTTCCAGATCATCAGCCCTCAAAGCACCTCACCACGGATGCCGAACAGCGGGAGGTAAGCAGAAGAAAAGTCTCTAGTTACTACACAGTTTCTTTGCACTGCACACATAATGGCATGTTTTTTTGTAAGCAACACAACTCTTATTATATGTTTAAAAAGAATCCAGCTTCGATTAAAAAGTTTGGTTCAGTAATATTCCCTGACTTTGTCCATTTCCATGAAATATAAAAGTATAAGAGGCAAAACAATGGCTCTCCATAAAGACCTTTCTGAAATATGGAGGTTAAAGGGTGTAATTACCCCGTGAAGCTTTAATAAAGACAGTTTGTCTAATATTTGAATTTAGATCAGTCTGATAAAAGTCACCTGTAACAATGGCTTGTATTGTGCATACTGTGTTTTAAACATAAATTAAGCATGTTGGGAAGTAGGTTGGTGGTTTGAGCTGCAGCTCCTCCTGTGGTAAAATACCAGACCCCAAATCAAAAATACTCGTATACTCTCCTCTGTATAGTAGCGTTAAATTAATGTGGAGAAGACCTGGAAAGCACTATATAGATAGACTATATAAATCCGTTTACCATTTGGAAGACCTTATGATTTCATTTTCATCATTTTTTTGTTCTATTATGTTTAACAGTGGCTTCAGGATGTGATCGCCCTCCAGTGCAGCATCATGCGACACCTGTCCATCAAACAAAAGGCCTCATCCCCAGCACCTACCGTGTCATCGGTTACATCGTCAGCAGAGACGGAGTCTGAGCTGAAAATTGGTACTAAATCATGTTTAACGTCAGAGGACAAGAAAACTCTGACATCTTTAGGAAGGACTTTATCCCCTGACCCCTGCTCTAAACCCTGCAGTACAGCCGACGACCAGCAGCGGGCCACTCTTTCAAGGGACATCGCAGCAGAGCCGATTACTTGTAAATGCAACATGACATCATGTCAGAACTGTAGGAAACCCAACGGACCTCTAGCAGAGGAGCGCCAGCCTCCCAAGGCCAACGGGCCCATAGACTGTAACAGCTCGTCAGACCCCTGCAGGCAGGTGGAGCTGCAGTGCAGAACAAAGCTCAGCGCAACACCCGCAGACTCAGCTCCTACCTCTGGTCTGGTGAACCACATAGGTGGTGAAACGGTTAAAAAGGAGCCTGAAAGCACCACAGTCGCCTGCGCCCAGAAAAACTGCCCCCCTGCCCCAACGATATGGCCCCATAACAGCCAGCAAAACCACAGGAATCAGACGGCGCTCCAGGAGGCGTGTATGACCAGCAACAAAAAACCCTCCTTCTCCATCACCAGCAGTGCCCGCTCTGACACACCACTTAAAGGCAATCAGGAGCATGACTCCACCAAGCTAGGATCATCGTCGCCCACTCCAGGTACAAGCTCATGATTTATTGAAAGTATTTTTTTTATTTATATATTTTTGGATTCATTTGTTTATTTAGTCTGGAATCAGCTTCTGCTCCAGAATATTGTTACCGACATCTTTTGCTTTTAAATCTTCGCAGCAGTTGATAACATAGTGTTGATGAAAATCAAATATCTAACAAGTGGGGGGAGGAGGTCTCATCACACAGAAGGGTGCTGCCCTGTGTTGGAACGTTCGTCCATCTCTAAAGTAATGAGAGGCCATGCTTCTACATGTGCTATTTAAAATGATGAAACACCAAACACTTAAGTTGAACAGCAACAAATGAGACTTGACCAGATGAAGGGTGTCACATCAAGCCTGTGGTCATGTTTGCAGCTTGTCTGTGATCAGACGTTTCCACTGATTCTGGGCAACACATCACAGCTGACTGTAGACTAATAGCTCCCTCTAGTGGTCACTGGCCAACAATTCCATGTTTCAAACAGAAGTGAGGTTTTGGAAGTAAAAGCACATTTAAATAGTTTCTGTGTAATGTAAGGCATTAATCAAGATCCCGTCAGTGAGCAAACATCTCGTTCCATCACACCCGTGTGTTTCTCCTCTATAGACGTGAAGGCTGGACCTGGAACTGACTCATCGCTGCCCAGCACTTTCCCCACATTTGCTGACCTGTCGAGCTGTATGAAAGATGGAAAGGACGATGATGGAGGTAGGTTTGCTCAATCAGTGGTGAGCTGTGGCAACACAATGTCAAGTCTGTTAAGAAGCAAACAAATGGTGTGATTATGTTTTTACTGTCCTGCGTGTGTGTTTGTGTGTGATTGTAGGGATCATGCTTGACAAACTGGATGCAGAGATGATCAAGCTCTTGGCCTGGCAGAGGATCCAGCAGCTGTTCCCTCCCAAAGCGCCCAGCGCTCTGCTCACCTCAGCGACCAGCGATGCTCCCAAAACCCCACCCCCCCATTCTGACAGTAAGATACTAACCTGACCTCTGACACCGCGACTCAGTAAATTATTTAGAAAATCGTTTGCTGTATAACGTTAAATGTTTTCTGAAACAGGTCAGAAGAAGGTGCAGGCCCGAGCTGTCTTCTATCCTCTGACAGGGAAAGGAGGAGCTGTCAGCATGTGCTATAGGACATTATACATAGGATCTGGTAAGACACTTTATCACAGGGACTGCAAAAGCATTTACTCAGCTCTATCTGTGCACGACTGACTGCACTTCTGTAGACTGACAGACTTTATTGATTAAATTTATTCAAGGATGAAAATAATGAGAATAAACTGGCATTAGTTGTACTGATAAATGTTTTGAACTCTTGGTGCCAGTATGTTGTCTCTAGGGTTGAACATCACATTTTAGAAATGTTTCTGTCACCAATTATAGAAAACTGAATGAAAATAAGAGAAATGAAAAATAATATTCTATGTTATTGTAATTGGAATGGAATGACCTGCTTGACTGCAGTATCTGGTCACAAATGTGATCTGATCTAGATTTAGGTCAGATGTGACGCTTTCCAACTTTATACAAAGCAAGAGTTCTTAATCCCATGTTTTTGAGGTACTTTGACTTATATAAACAATATTCAAACATATAGAGATTATTTTCACTGCATATTTTACTGTGAACTGAACGCAGGGAAAATTACACAAGACCTTGAGTCTCAAGAACAGCGTGGCTGTTGCGCAAGTTGCGTAAGTCTATTAGATAAGCATTACTAAGTTTGGCCAAAAAACCATAATTATTTCTTTTGTAATGTTTTTTTTGGAAAGGTGCTGACATGGATGTGTGCCTTACAAACTATGGTCATTGCAACTACGTATCTGGGAAACATGCCTGTATTTTCTACGATGAGGTTTGGACTTTTTTTTTGCTGTTTACTGATTTGTGATCTTGTACCATTCTACAACAATGCTGTGGTTGTTGGTCATAGACTAAATAGTTTGTGTGTCCTCTATAGAATACCAAGCATTATGAGCTGCTCAACTACAGTGAGCACGGCACCACCGTGGACAATGTTCTGTACTCGTGTGACTTCTCTGAGAAGGTCTCACCATCTGTACCCAGCGGCCTGGTGGCCAAGGTCCAAGGCATCATTCGTGAGTAAATCTACGTCTTACACACTAACGTTTGAAGTATCATCAGCCAGTTCATTAATCCATCACCTCTTTTTTCAAATGCAGTCAATAAAACAGATAGTGTGTCAAATAGACATAGTTATTATTGCACACGCAACACCCCATCCTGCCTCTAGATGGCACTCCTCAATCTAATGTTTGAGTACATGCTGTCATTCAGTCTAATCTGACAAAACATATCTTCACCATACAGACTCTCAGATGCTGCCTTTTCCCGTCCCTTGAATCCAAGAGGGATTAGTAGACAAAGCATTTGCACTGTGGAGAAAAAAAAAACCTGGATGTAGCTGCAGTAACTCCACACACCGGCTCTGAAAAGAAGCTTAAAGACATGGACGTTTTGTGATGATTGATCGTTGATTGATATGAACAGTCTTTAAAATGTGTGAGACATTCTTGGGGACTGAGGCTAAATGAGCAAACAACAGCTGCTGTGGCTGAATGTGATAAGCACCTGTCAGTTCCACAAAAGGAAACTGTAATTTTCAAGAGTCACTGGTTAAAGCCAGGGAAACTAAAGCCTTGTTTTGGATGGTCTACGTACTAAATGAGACTGACTGGATTTGTCTCCATGTTGAACTCTTCACCTGTGATCTAGTGATCAACCTCAAATTAACCAAAATGAAACATGGGATACTTACCTGTCACAAACAAATCAGCGTCTGACTGCCATTGCATTGAGAAATGAAATCCAGTCAGTGACACTGTCATCAGTGCTGGTGAGATCAGGCACTAAGACTTCTTTACTGACATTAAACTGTATTTCCCCTCGATGCCATCACCACCGTTTTCTTCATTTTCCCACCCAACCGTTACTGCAATTTTTTTCCCTTGTTTCTTGCTAAATTGTAATACTGTTGACATGTCACTGCCTCTTTGAGTACCTTTCTCCTAATTTCTACCCATGGTTCTCTGCGCAGGTCGCAGTAAGAAGCGTGAGGAGGGCGAGGGTCCCAGCTCTGTGGTGGGTCTGCTGCCAGCTGGTGGAGTGATGAGCAGCCAGTCTCAGGGCTGCTCTGAGCTGTCATGCACGTGTAAGGCGAGCAGCTCCAGCCTGATTGGAGGCAGTGGGGCAGGGTGGGAGGGCACGGCCCTGCTCCATCACGGGAGCTACATTAAACTGGGCTGCCTCCAGTTTGTCTTCAGCATCACCGAGTTTGCGAGTAAGCAGCCCAAAGAGGAGCCGACCGCCACATCTGCCAGCAGCTGCGCTGGCACCACCAGCAGCGGTACTGCAGCTGCCACCAACACGGCCACCAACTCCACCTCCACACCACCACTGCCCAGCACTGCCACAGTGAGCAGCCCTTCCAGCCAGGAAGAGGCTGACACTTTGACTGTCCCTCCCCACCAAGTGCCCGTACTGCACTCCAACTCTGTTCCGTAACCCGCACAGGAAGTCCTGCCCTCCCGCCTTTTGTTTTGCACCTTCCTAGTCACAATGAAGGGAAAGCTGCACAGCTGGTTGGTCAACAGGGAAAAGTTTTTTTTTTTATTTTGTTGTCATTTTTAATAGTTTATATCTTTGCATGAACTTGAAGTATTATTGACAATCTCCTCTGTTTTTGAATGACTGACAGTAACCTTCTGTTCACTTCAGACCATTAGGAGTTTGAGCAACATTATTTACCTATGCTCAATTTTTCTTTTGCCAGTATATTAGTTATGTATGGTGTAACATGACTCTGTCAGTCATCCCATTTAGCACAAACCCTTTATTTTGTAGTATTGAATTCCATACATTCTAATTTCTTTTGCTGCTTTTGCACCACAGGTAGCTATATATGTATGAAAACATACATGCTTATACACTATGATATGTATATATAATGTAAATATATATATAATTCAGTGCCTCTCAGTTGGAGAAACATTGGATTTCATGTAGATTACCATTTTTTGGTTTTTAACTGTACAGTTCATGGAATTTGTGATACTGTGTAGAGTACCTGAAGTTTTGTGATAAAACTTGTTCCTAGTCTGTATTTTTCGCTGTAGTCCGTCTGTAAATACCACATTGTTTTAGCACTCATTTTAACATCTTGTGCTGCTCTGTATATAAGCACTCTTTGTCTGTATCTGCTTGTCTGTTCAAACCTGTAAATACAGAAAGATTTTCTAAGAACAAACTCAGTGGATGTGTTCTCTAATGTCTTCAGACCTCCGAGAGTCCAATTTGTGTTTTGATTTCCTTTTTCCTGCATCATATCGAATCAGTTTCAATGTTATAATCAGTCGGCAGTACAACATCAATTTAATAACAGCATTTGAGCTTCCTGCCAATGAGGGACAAACATGGTACACGTACAAGTGAATGAATAAATACAGAAATAAATAATTAACCATGTCTGTATTTCCACATTAATCTGTTAGTATTTTATTTATTTACTGCTGCATTAATTTAACTGCGTGTCACTTTTTGTCCACCGTAGAGCCCTGATGGTGACGTGGTAGAGAATTGGCTGCTGGGTGTTAATGTTGTTTTTTTTCTACAATAAGTGAATTGCTGAGTTTTTGGTGAACAAAACCTAGAACTTACTTTGCCTGTCGAGCGATGCAGCGTGATAACCTATGGTAATAACAAGCAGTAACATTTAAAACACGAGTTTACATAACTGTCATTGCTCAGAGACACGCCCACACAACAGGAAGTCCTATCATCTTATCATCAAAACCATGAAGCCAACCGGAAGAAGTTCTTTAGATTAGTGGAAATAATTCATATTTTCAAATTCTTTAGTTGATCATAGTTTAAAATGATTAAGTTGATTATTGTGCGACGCCATGTGTGATTTAGGGAAAAAAAATATTTCGGCACTTTAACGCGATTGGCTTGTTTACAAAGGTCTTATTTTGAAAGAGGTGACCGGAAATGTGGACTTCCGGGCGACTTGTCCCCTCTCGCGCTGGTCTGTGATGTCGGTGCTGCTGTGTCTCGCGGCGTGTGCGCTCTTCTTCTACGTGCTCGTGTACTACGGCGTGTTCAGAGGAGCGCGATGCGCGGCGTCAGTGACGCTGGAGGGGAGGACGGTCCTCGTGACAGGTACGGGGCTCACCTGTTAGCTTCTGCTAACACGTAGCTTCACGTCGGTGTGTTTTCCCTCAGACACTTCCGGCTCAGAGCGGATGCGAAAAGCGTCACGTGCTCCACCGGGAGCCACGTGTGAATCTGACGTCTGACACAACAGCTCGGCTCAGAGGGGGTGGGGGAGAGGGGGGGGACACTGAGCTGGATCGAAACATATTTCAAATATATATGAACTCATCCTTTTTACCGGTGTCATCTAAATCGTGTGAATTGTTTTCTCTACCACAGACTGGGCTCTTTATGTCTAAAAACTTTATATTTACATGGATCCTCTCTGTGGAGGCCGCCATGTTTTTTTTTTTTACTGTCGTCCAAACTGGACAAACTAAAACCTTTTGAGTTTTCATGACAGCTGAAGTTCACCACAGGTTCTCTGTCCTGTTGGGAAGGCCAGGGTAAAATGAGGAGTATTCAGCTGCAACATGACACTTCACCACGAGATGTCCCTAAATTCTACACCCCGAACCTTTAAGTTCTATGAATATATTTTTCGATGAAGTTTTATTGGCTGTTTAATTCCTTGGTTTAACTTCTTTCACACAGTTTGACCTCGTACACAAAATAAGACGGAAGTGATTTAGCTCAAGTAACCACTATTACATCATCAGCATTGAAAAGGAGGAACGATGTCAACCCTTCACTCAGTTTGCCTTTTATTTAAAATAACTTGATCTGTGATTAACACATCAATCCCCCATTTACTTTGGGAAAGCCCAATTACCCGTAGGACAGCAGACCAGATTATCGTAGCCTGATCGTGAGGCTAACATGAGAGGTCATTAGTAACTTTTAACTGTGCTGTGATGGATTCCAAACACTGATCGAAAGTCTCCCAACTAAACAATATTGTAAGTAATCGCATAACTGGATGGCAACAGCTTTTTCAAGGATTTTGGAAATGAAGGGAAGTTTTGATATGGGTCTATAATTAGTTCAAACATCTGGGCCGAGAGTGTACTTCTTAATTAGCGGTTTAATTACTGCTACCTTAAAAGCCTGCGGTACATAGCCAGTTAATTAGGGTTGGGCGATGTAAACTTAATTGCCATTTGACGATTTAAGCAGTGAAACTTTGTAATTGACGATTTTTCTTAAGCCGTTTTCAGACATGACTTGCGGGTAAAGTGCTGAGAATTGATTCCAGAGTTTACCCAGAGTTTGCCTTTCACACATTCCCAACGCAGTGGGCGGTTTCTGCACAGGCGTGTTCACAACAGCAACAAATCCTCTGCATTATTCAGGCCTTTTGTTTCTTTGCTAATTTTTGCATCTGTTGCTTGTTGGAAACTTCAAATTCTCCTGGATTTCCATGGACGTTATACTAGGTGGCCAGTTGGAGAAAGTCCGCAGATAATGACAATACGTAGGATCATTTCATGATAATTGGTGCAAAGCAGCAACTAAACAAAAATTGTGCTTTTACTTTGAAGATAATTTGCAAAGGAGACGTGATTTTACAAATGTTAACATGACGGAGATCGACTCACTTTCCTGCACAGGGGGCAACACTGGCATTGGCAAGGCCACGGCTCTGGAGCTGGCAAAGAGAGGAGCCAGGGTGATTCTGGCCTGCCGCAACCAGGAGAAAGCTGAGGCTGCTGCCTTTGACATCCGCAGAGTAAGTATTTTGAGAGGTGAGGGCGTCAGTCGTCAGTAGATCGACTCATCTTAATATTGTGGTGATGGAGCATGGTGTCCAGATATTCTTCAAAATGTGTCTAAAACCTTCCTACAATGCAATGTTTGTTTTGTTTAGGTCTTAGCACTGACTGGTGCAAGGACTATGTTGTAATGCGAGGAATTATTATTTCTTTTTCTCCACAACAATTCACATTTTTGTTAAATGTGCTTGAAAACTCACATAACTTTACTGAAACAAAAAAATAAATGTCTGGCGTGGGTGTTTCCCATGAGTATTGTTTAGTAAAGCTTAACCAAAAAGGGAGTCAGCCATTTTTAGCGATTTGCAGCTATTGTACGTCAACTGACCTTTAAATCTAGAGACGTCCACAAAGAAAAGGTATTAAAAGTTTGGGTTTTCGTTGAAGTGCATGTCCATGGCATGACCTTGATTTTTTTGATTTTTTGCCATGAAACAGGAAGTTGTTGAATAAGTGCAATGAGTTTTGTCATACATTTCTGCTGGATACGTTATGTGAGTTTGAAACTGAATTATTATTTTTCAGGAGAGCGGGAACAATCAGGTGGTGTTTATGCAGTTAGATCTGGCGAGTCTGAAGTCTGTCCGCAGTTTTGCTAAAACCTTCCTGAAGACTGAACCCAGACTGGACATCCTTATCAACAACGCAGGTGAAGATTAGGATTTGGTTCATTTTCATATTTGATTTCATTGTGAAATTGAAGCAGCTGCCCGATACTAATACTCTGCGTTTCAGGTGTGATTTGTCAAGGACGCACTGAGGATGGCTTCGGCCTGGCGTTTGGGGTGAACCACCTTGGTCACTTCCTGCTCACCAACCTCCTCCTGGAGCGACTGCAGCAATGCGGACCTAGCCGCGTTGTCAATGTGGCTGCGCTCCTGCACCGCTTTGGAAACATTGACTTCCCTCTGCTGGCGTCCAAGAAAGATCTGGTGTCGGGTCAGTCCACCTGGTGCAACATTCAGGCCTACTGCAGCAGCAAGCTGTGTAATGTGCTCTTCACCAGAGAGCTGGCCAACAGGCTGGAGGGCACTCGTGTCACCTGCTACAGCCTGCACCCAGGTCAGTGGCAACCACACATTCTATAATTAGAATTTTGGCTGATGTAACTGTGGCGGCTATTTTGGAGGGCAAGACAGAAGCTGGAGGAAAAAGCTGCTGTTTCTCGGTAGAGGGAAGTGTCTGACAAAAAACGGATGTGATTCTCAGGAGCCTACAATATGTGTGGCCGCCCTACGCATTTATATAATCAGAGCTGATAGTATAGATACTTGAAGGCATTAAGAACTCTCTTGCTTCAGAGGTGAGACATCTTCTAGTATCTATAACCAAACCCAGGTGCCCTCAGTTGAACCACGTTTAAACAACCCTGACCTTGATGATTAAGAATCTTCTCAGACAACCGTGTGTACATGACCTTAGCCAACATGAATATTAGCTCCTGGTTAATTAACGGTTTGCCTTTTCAAAGAGTCCATGTTTTACATCTCATAATACGAGTTCGAGCCACACACTCTCCTCGCCTCTTTGTTCTAGCAGTGGAAATATTTAATCCCTGAATTATTATGAAAACATATTCATCATGGGGACAGGGTCAATTTGCAGCTTGTGTCCTTCTTCACAGCCACAGACTCATTATGGACTAAGAGCATCCCCTGAGTTAAGGTATCAACTTAAGTTTTTCTAATTTAATTGAATGAATATCTCTTAAAATTTGTTATTTTTGGTTCCACATGAGTTATTATCAACCTGCTCTTCTCATGGGTTTATATGTAATCATGGTTGCTCTGCTGATCTGTTTATCAGGGCTGTCCTACATTATGCCTACACAAACTGGAGCACCTGTAGTCTATTTAAATGACCTATCAGAGCCGTGACTTTATTGTTTTTTTTATTTTATTATCAATGTTCCTATTTTCACTCTTTTTTTTATTACCTGGTTTGACAACCAGTTGACTTTATTTAGCTAGTTTTGCAAAGAATGTGCCAATAACTAGCGTGCGTGAGACGCCTCCTTGGTCCTGGTCTCGTACATTAAAATTTTGATGCTCTCGCTACTGTTCATCCTTCACTCTGGAAACATAACCATTGTTCAGTTGATTTGTTCAACACAGATCCAAATCTCTACTAAATGGATGAGCGGTTGTCAAGAAAACTGAGGAACAGCCAGACACACAGACCGAGATTCCTTTATTTATAGATAGACTAGTCAGGGGTGTCGTAACAGGGGAGGCAAAGCAGGCAGTTGCCTGGGGCCCGAGGTGAGAGGAGGCCCCGGAGATCAACTGATTGAATTAGTTCGGAACAAGAACAATGTTTAGAGGTTTTGTTGAACATTTGAATGTCTGTGTATAATGTGTCTGGGTTGGGAGTGGGGGTTTGTACTTAAACTTTACTCCGTTACTATTATGTTTGTGTATTCACTGTATGGGCTTTGTTTTTAATTGTGATAATAGTTTCATGTGTTTCAGGGGGCAGAAGATTCTATTTGTTCAATGTTTTTCTTTTGCCTCATACAGACAACACATATCACCAGTGAAGGGAATAAGATACTATGACAATGGAAGCTTGAGGTTCACCTAGACCCTGCTGGTCCCCTGTAGTCACAAGATTTCATGATGTCAGAATAGTACAGGAGGGCTGGAAGAGTCCACTGCCCATAGTCCAAGTTGTGCTTCATAGTAAAGTCCCCTCTGTTCTTCCCAGGAGTCATCTACACAGAAATATGTCGCAGTCTGAGCCTGTGGCAGCAGCTCCTCATCGTGCCCTTTGCCAAGCTTTTCTTCATGGACCCGGAGGGGGGGTCCCAGACCACGCTGCACTGTGCCCTGCAAGAGGGCATTGAGCCTCTCAGTGGACGCTACTTCTCTAACTGCACACTTCAACAAGTAGGCGCCAGGGGACGAGACGACGCCCTGGCGAAGAAGCTGTGGGAGTTGAGTGAGAGGTTAACGGGTTTATAACATTTGACTGGAACCTAATCCAGATGCTCCGAAGACTGTATGGATAGTCAGCGCTCTACAGACCCCAACATGTCTTATTGTTGGGCGCTGTTCCTTTAAGGGCTGGGTTCTTATAAGGTGGATCTTTTTTTTGCTGAGTGAGTGGACATTTTTCTAAAAACATATTTACTTCACCTACATGTAAAAGTAATGATTGTTAGAGTTCCATTGAGATGGCCTGTCTTATAGTCTGGAGTTTTATAATTAAGTTACATTCAGAAATGTCTGGGCTGGACATCAGCTTCGTTGTCGGTTCACATGCGACTGTGAGTTACTTCAGTTTCTCTAATCACATTAACTGATGGTTACATTTATTTTTACAAACATTTAAAGCCTATTAATTAATAAATTAATATATATATATATGGACCTTAGCCCTGAAAAGAAGTGTGTTCTCGCAGCTAAGCAGGTCTAGATAAAGGTTGACCAGCTAAATTCAGTCTAACCCAACTAACATAAAACTCCACTTTGCATCCTGATGATTAAACTATACTTAATTTTAATGTTCTAGATCAGAAACTTCCACAAGGAACTCAGCTGTGAGAATAACTGCAGCTGCTTTTATCACTGCTGGTTCTCACAGGAATGGAATAGCAGTGAAGACAGTTTTTACTGCTGCACAGCAATTTGAGTTTATAGTGTTGCACTGAGAACATTTTGTGAAATGTAGTGTTCTGAGAACATGAATGACCATGAATTTACATGATGGCAACATATCCCTCAATTAAATGGCCCTGAAATTAGCAGAATGCACAAAAACCCAAAATAAATGTATTTGTTCTGTTCAGACTGGAGCCTGCTTGTTCACCAATCTGTTGTTTGCTCAGATATTTTTTTTTAAGTTGTGGCAAGTTCAGCATTTTTGGACACAAACCAATGTGACCATGTAACTTGACCCTACGTTCAGTGACGTGCAGATGAAGTGTATCTCTGCCTCAAGACGGTGCTGACCTGAGTTCAGCTGCTAACCTGAGTCATGACCCTCCTAAAACACTCACATTTTAATCGATTTGAAATTGTGAATGCTCAGTACGTCCACCAGGGGTCAGTAGCGTAGCACAGCTCAAACAACAAGAGGCCACGGCGCCTCAACGTGCGGTGCATGGACAGCTTGGAGCAAGGTTGTTGAAGACCTTAACCCAGCAGACCTATGGATCTGTTCATTATGAGCACTGATTATTAACAGGTAGGCATGAAAGCCAGGTCAGTTGGGTGTGTTAAGAGAGGTGCTTTTGTAATTACTCAGTAGGACATTCCTCTGTGCAGGCTTCTCCTTTGACCTCAGTGTTGATGGGGAGAAACACACTTCCACAATCGATTCCTATCTCCTCCTGCAACCATCCCTCTGTCCGCCTCCTTTGCCAACCTCCACCCCCCCCCCCCCCCCATCCGCTGTCTCTGCTGCATGTCGAAGGGACCTGTGGTAAACCTGAGTCGCAGCTTTCATGACGGCCTCGTCTTCACCACCACACTGCAGCTCATGTGTTCCAGCTAACGCTGGACTGGCAGTTACAGGCAAGAGGTCGATAAGTTCAATATCATCAACCCAGACAAGAACACACCCAAGCAGTGGCTGTGAAGCGAAATCTGTGGATTGCACTGAAAACACTGGACGGACAGAAGACATTTACTCTGGAAATAGATGTTACAGTTAAGTTTTTTTTAATGGTCATTTTTCAAGCAGTGCTCATCAGACCTTAGATCGAGATGAAGAACAAATCTCAGCACGTAAAACAAAAAATAAACTCTGCATGGTCAGATATGACTGAAAGGAAGGGAGAAAATATGTCTTTATTTTCCTCAAGCGACTGAATGAACTCTAATGGAAAATTAACTTTGAACAAATCTTTTCTTGCTTTGAAAAACTGTTTCTATCGCTGTGTTCTTGTCGCAGCTATTTGAACACTGCATGTCAGTGTTCTCCTTGTTCCCTTGTGAACAAGCATTGAGCTCCGTCAGTTCTTTGTCCCAAATCTAAGTTCATAGCAGCGACCTGGTCCATCTACCCATGATGACGCTGCATGATGCATTCACAGTGTTTAAAGAAGGCTTCGATAATAGTTTCCAATTTCAGTTGAATTCAACTCAGTAACTAGGTCCCCATTCAGGGGTGTCATCATTTGGAGGTTGACCGATTGTTTAACAGTGACTGCTCCAATTTTAAGGCTCCTTCAAATGTGGCAAAGAAATGTATCCTACGAACAAAGAGTCCAATGGATGGATCCATTTCAGGCCCTCCTGTCCCAGGACTCGCTTTGTGCTGCTGACAGAACAGTCTGGAAAATACATGTCAATGCATTTTTGAAAGTAAGTTTCAGGCTTCAACTCAGTCCAATAGTTCACTATATGTTTGTTAAAATGTTAATGTGTAAGGTTTGGCTATGTGACATCAGTGTTCTTAAGTGATCTTAATAAGCTAGCTAGCACTTCAAAGTAGCTAACAGTGACAGGTGATGCAAATAGGAAGTTCTCTGTAGACCAGATCATCTCATTTAGTTTTGGCCTTCGCGATCTACCCGGTAGATCTCCATCAACACTGTCCACCCGGTCTACCCGGTCCTCCGAAGGTTGTAGGGACACAGCTAGTATCTTCCAATACACAACTCTGTTCTATAGAGCAAAGTGAATCTATCTATACATACAGTATATCACTGTTTATATTCATGCAGCTCTTCACATTAGTAGGAGACCTGCTGGGGGAAAAGGTAAACAGAACTTTGACCCCTATAATTAGAAAGAGTTTCAAGTTCTTTGAAGGAAACTTTCTGAAGTATGTAGTTTATGAAGTCCTCTAAATTATCAGGAATAAAATCCACTTACCCATCATATATTTCATATTTCTAATACACTAATCCCTACAAATACTGAAATATGTCTTAAAAAAGAAAAGAATAGAACACCATGTTACAACCCGATAACAGAGAAGAAACAGGCTGTGTCTTCGGTGCAGGGTGAGGGGATGTCAGCAAACTAAGTATATACCTTGCAGCCACACTTGTAAAGTAATATCACAGACTAGTAGGAGGTGCTGTAACAGCCGAGTGTTTCAGCTTCATCTCGTGGAGGCTCAGCAGACGAGACAGCGGTGTTGTTTCAGGCCAAAGGTCTGCAGCTCATGGGTGTGCACTTCTCCTCCTTGATCTATAGTTCATAGATGTTCTGTCAGTCCCGCCCCACTCTCTTGGTTGAGGTGCTGCTTGGTGATGACTTGTGTGTGGTGTTTGCTTTGGGCAGACTTCACAGCTCTGCAGTACTTAGTGACTGGATTAGTGCATCAATTAGGCAGTTATTGGATGCATGGAGCCATGCGGATTGATTTGGATGCTGTGGAAGCCACGTATGGGATGTTTGTACGGGGACAATATCAACACATCAGAGCGAGGGAAAGAAAAAACGGATTCACTTTGTCACTGTTTATAATGAATCTTTGAGTATTTAACTAGACAGTAAAAAATAAGACAATGATGCTAAACAGAGTAAAAGGTTCAGGGTGTAGAAGCTGAATACCCGTCACCTCACCCTCCTCTTCAAAACATGTAGTAGCTTCAGTCATCATAAAAACTCAAAAGTAAATCTAAAGTAAGTATTACAGTAGAAGACATTTGAATTGGTTTCTAGTGCTACTTTTCAATTTAAGCTGCTTTCAGACCTGCAATAAACTCTGGATTTTACCTGGACATTCTCCAGAGGACCTGTATGTGAGCTCCCTGACGCCTTTCTGACTCGAGCAAGACACTGCTGCAGTTTGGTTGATGGTGTCACTGACTGTTATTGTCAACAGTAGCTTTGCATTTGATTTGTCTCCAGGTTGCTTCTTATTTCTGAATCTGGTTCTAGTTACACACTGGCTCAAAAAAGATTTTCCAACGTACACAATCATTAGAAAAGTAAAGTGTTTTTTTTTTTTTATTGTGAGAGTGTTTGAAACACAATTGAATCTGTCTACTCCACTGCATGATCCATTAGGTCCAATAAAATCTAAAAAGCCTCGAAGTGTGTTCGCTGTTTGTTGGGAGTCAGCAGGACGTCAGTCAGAACATTGCTGGAGTTTGAAGGCAGTGAGGTGCCTTCACAAGAATGATTAGAACGACATCATGGATCACAGTTGTCTCAATACAGACTTTGCTCAAAATGAATTCTAGGATATTGCGAGCGAAGGATTTTTTGAAGACTTTGCCTCCTCCATCACTTCTGATGATGTATTCTTTATATTTTATATTTCTTAGAAATGCACCGGACATGTAAAATCCAAAATATAAGTATTGTGGTATTTCTTGAAATGCCGTGTGTCATCCTGAAGAAATCGTTGCAATCAGATTTATCCAGAGTTGTGAAATACAACTTTGTTTTGCTGGTAACTGTGCGGGCGAGTGTTCAAAGACTGAGGGAGATGTGGGTGGGAGACATTCAAAGAACAAAGTGTTCGTAAGCTCATATTCAACATTAAATCCCCCACATCACCTCTTTCCTCCAGACACTCCTCACTTTTCAGTGTTAAAGCATGCACACACACACACACACACACATACACACACCACCCGTCCGGTCCTTATCAGTAACAGTGCGGGTGTCGATAAATAGAAGCATCCTCTGGGTCTTGTTATTTCCTCCGCTGCAATTAACGTTCCCATCTGCTAACCTGTGATTAACGGTGTTTACCGATATGCTGCGGCATGTTCAACTGCTTGAGTCACAGTACACACCTTCCTCTCCATTTCCCAACCCCTCCCATATCCTGCTCAGGCTGTCAACAGTGTATATATCGCTGAACACGTCTCCTGGGAGTCGGTATTGCTTCGGCCCCGGTGTTGGAGGGTTGGTAAGTTATGACATCACCATATTGTGATGCAGATACAGTACATGTGAGTGATACTGATCCTTCATTAAAGGGATAATGCAAAGATAATTTTCTAATTACCTCAATTGTGTTGCTATGACAAGAGAAAGGACACATTTTCCATGGATCCCTCTGCCACCACATCTGCCTATCTCTAGGGATGCTGAGTGGCTTCGATGTGCGTCTTGGAAGTTCCCAAAAAACTTTGGACAAACAAGCCAGAGCTCAGGAGTCCGTCAGAGAAAGTAAAGTTATGTCCATTGAGGGTTGAAAAGTATCATCTCTTCCATCAAGAGCATCACTTTGAGCTTCACCAAAGCAGAAAGGAGAAGCACCAATATAACTTTCCTCGCAATCTACCATCTACACTACAGCTAAGTGGAATTTTGAAATGTGGAATTATATATTTCCGCTCCTCTAATGATTCCATTAGAATGAAGTGAAACTTTGTGATGCCCAGGTCACAGACTTTTTAGCATATTTAGGTTTCCAGCTCAGACGTAACTACTTCACTGTTGGGGGCATATATTGCAAATATGAAGCACATTGACACTAGTACTGTAAAGGCTAAACTTGAAATGAAGTTCCTTCAGTGTACAAAGATGAGTTTTAGGTTTTGTGGTAAATCACAGCATGAAACTATTGGGCTCAGTGTGGAGGTGTTGATAGAGGTTTTAATCATCATCTCCTTTCATTTGTTTTGTTCGTGTTTTAATTATGCTGCCTGTTGCCCACTGTGTCTGAAAACAGTGTGAAACAGACACAGAGAAAGCAAACCTCTAAAGCCTCTTAAACATTTGAACACGTTTCCAGCACTTAGGTAAATGAGCCTTCGCTCATGCTTTTTGCAATTTGCAATAATCTAATGAGAATATGCTGCTTGCTGAGCAGAGACTGTAAAACAACAACATATCAGAGAGCTTACTGCTGTAGAAACTATTCATTAGAGAGACTGTACAGTTCTGTTGGTTGCAATGGAAACAAAATTGCCTATTAGCTGCACAGAAAAATATTTTTGTCATTTATTTGTCTGATGTCCATCCATCCAGTCACAATAGCTTTCTTACCCGAGGACTCTTGCTTCTTGTTGTGTTACAATGATGAAGTGGCATAAAGGACTAAAGTTTCATGTCGGTGTTAAAACGAACTATCAACTTGTCACTATGGTTATAAACACGTCACGTGTGAGATTCGATGATAAAACCCTGTGGATAGAAAATGTGGCTCAGTAAAAGCAAATTTCAGTGAAACTCACCAAAGAAATTGACACGTTCGACGAAATCCGTCAAAGATCTGAATGAAACTTCCTGACAGTTCGTACAAGAACAAATAATCCAAGGAGACCCTGATTTATTTTTAGACTAAAATGTAAAGATGCTGTAGTTAAAGTTTGGGATCTGAGCAGCTACACGCTCCATCGTGGTTGTGTCTGATGTTTGAAGCTGGGTGGACCCAGATGTCCGTGTGTTAATCGACTAATTTTGACTATTTTGTCAGAATTATGTTCATCCAAAATAAACGAATAAATAAATAAATGATGTACAATTCATACATACATAACACTGATTAATGTCACATGTTTTATCGTGGTTTCAAAATCAAAGCTCGTCTTTCGTTGATATTTCTTTATCACTTCAGAATGCAAAGATCACCTGTTTCCCATTCAGCCGTGTGTGAAAACAATTGTTTCTAATGTCTATCACTGAATGCAAAACACGGAGTAATCACTTTCAACAGAAAATACATCTGAACTCGAGTAATGTTTGCAGCTGTTTGGCTTTTGAAGCATGTGGATGTGATGCTGAAACCAACACAGGCTTCTCAAGGTTGCTGGTTTTCTCTGCTTTTCATCGGGAATTGATTGAGAAATTCCGCAAGAGTGCTATTATCGATTGGACACAGATTGTGGTGGGTTAGAAAAGCCAAACAT